AAATCTCCTGATTTACATATACTGATGCAAGCTCTCTAAATCTTAACTCCAGCCATTTGTTTTTGGATGGAATTAACATTTTTGTCCGGTTCTTCCTCAGTCTGCGTTCCACTGGAGTAATATTCCCTTATTTCTTGTAGAGCTGCAGCTAACGATTTATTTTCAAAATCGATTAGTTAGCCGATATTAAGTTCGATTAATCGGATAAAAAAATGAAATAAATGTTAAAAAATGGCTCCAGTGATGGGACTACTAGTTTGTATTGAGATTGCAGTCCATCACAGGAGCAAGCTTGGAGCGGTGGAAGTAAAAAAGAAAAGGTGTGGTGTGCAATATAGTGAAATGAAAAGTGTAAAATTATACCGCAATGAATGCAGAATGGCATCGGCTATAGACGACTACAAATCCCAGCAATAGTAAATTATACAGCACAATGCAGAATACCACCAGCTATAGAGGACTACAAATCCCAGCAATAGTAAATTATACAGCACAATGCAGAATACCACCAGCTATAGAGGACTACAAATCCCAGCAATAGTACATTATAGCTGGCGGTATTCTGCATTGCACTGTGTATTGTATTATTGCTGGGATTTGTAGTCCTCTATAGCTGGTGATATTCTGCATTGCGCTGTATAGAGGACTACAAATCCCAGCAATAGTACATTATAGCTGGCGGTATTCTGCATTGCACTGTGTATTGTATTATTGCTGGGATTTGTAGTCCTCTATAGCTGGTGATATTCTGCATTGCGCTGTATAGAGGACTACAAATCCCAGCAATACATTATACATATAGTGTATAATGTATTGCTGGGATTTGTATTCCTCATTGGCTGATGGTATAGTGCTCTGTAAAATATACAGTACAGCGCAATGTACCATCAGCCATAGAGTACTACAAATCCCACTATCCCAGCAATACATTATAGACCACCATGTGTGGGAAAGTGCAGGCCTACCGTTCTGTGTCTGGCGACTAATAACTGTATGGACCGAAACAAAACTGTCTGTTATATTGGCATAATCTCAGTACAGTATTGTGGGAAATTATGTGAAGCATTAAAACATTTTTTAGGGCTAGTTCACACCAGGGGTGGTCCATTGATATCAATGGCAACGCAATACCCTCCCCCCCCCACGGCTGCGGTGCCATTGATGTCAAGCTGTATTGCAGGTCAACTGTCTGGCTCTGCTGTCTGGCAGGGCTGTGTATAGCTCAACACTGGATTGGCAAAATTGATATTTTTTTTGCAGTTGAAATAGCTTCTATACATGTATTGAACTGTAAATTGAGGTATCATCTGGAGTTCAGCTTTATTGTAAGCCCTCGTTCACACCTGACCGTTTTGTAGCGCGTTCTACGCTCGACGAAACGGTCAAAAATATAAATTGCATTGTAGTCAATGGGCTCATTCCCACCCTGCCGTATTTCCGCCCGTCCCTAACGCCCTACAAAACGGCCCACTCCTGAAAAGGTCCAGGTACTACTTTGGGCCGTTTTGTAGGGCGTTTTCCATTGGGATACAGCCAAGTAGCCTTCGGAATCGCGCGACAACCGCGCGAGTTTTTTTTACCGCGCGACAGACGCGCATATTACAATACGCCTAGGTGTGAATGGGGCCTTAATCTTCTCAATAAATGTTGACACTTTTAAAGCTGTAATTAACAACTCCAGTATTCAAATCCATTAACAATAATATTTGCAGCAGATTAATCCATTTATTTTTCGTTTTTTAGAACCACTGACTGGGGTCACTCCATTGCTTTAAAAACTTTGCAAATGGCTTCGTAAGTGATGAATGTCATGGCTACAAGAGTAGAGCTAACAACGAGGAACACAAGGAGTGATATTTTAAATGAGGGTAAATCCACCAGATCATATGCTGGTCCACTATCGGATGCAAGCAACAAGTCCAGTGATTCCAGCATTTCTAGTTCTTTTATCATTGAAGAGTCCATAAGAGTTCCCTCCAAACCCGTGAGCATGTTCAACATGGGATTGAAGCCAAGACTTTCACCAAAGCCATTTACAAGGGAAAAACCTCCTGAAAATCGAAAGACAGTGGAAATAATGTCTGCGCTGTCTTCAGATATGAAGTCACAAAGTGATGTACCATTTCATACTTCTACCAGCATTTCTTTGTCTGGTAGTGCAAAAACTGAAGACGGTGAAAGAGTAGGCCGTAGAATTTTCACCTCCAGTTATCTGCCAGACACCGAAGAGGACCAATTAAAAAATAAGTCTGATATTTTTTCTCCGACCGTTTTGAGTGGAAAACAAACAAGCTCTAGTTGGACACCTACAGACACTGGAGAGTCCAAATTAACTTCACAGTTTAATGAACCTAAAGTGACATCAAAACCTCCAATGATGTCAAGAAAATCAGATTTTTTACAACAGCAGGAACAAGGTAATGCCAGCTCCCTCAGAAAACCAGCAACAGATGCAACAGGTGAACAAAGGGAGCCTCTGGAAAAAGGAAAAAATGAGTCTGAATCAATCGACAGCTTAACTGTTAGAGCTCAGTTAAGACCAAAGCGTCGTCCAGTATCTGCTATGTTTCTAGACTCTGTAAGTGACCAAACATCTGACAGTAACATAACTGAAAAACCAAGACCTTGGAATAGGAGACCTCTTTCAGGGGACCTTACTTCATTATTTGAAAGTGGAGTGCTTGGAAACAAAAAAGAAAGTCCCTCTGAGGAAACGAAGGAAAATAGGCCTTTGAAGATCAGTTCATTAAACAGCAACATCACAGAGGATCAGTCAGATCTTGCATGCAAAGAAGGAGAATTTAGTAGCACTAAAAGTGCCAGTAATGAAACCAGAGCAAGTAGAAGTGGGATTTCTTCAAGAAATATGTTTTCTGGAGTGAGGGGGAAAGACACTATTACAGAAATAAGATCCAGTACAGAGCAGGGAAAAACTATTCCAACTGAGGTCGACTCCGCAGTGAGGAAGTCCACAAATATAAACCAAGATTCTAAAGATCTTTCTGATTACACTGATGGCTCAAGCAGTGAAGTAAAGAATGCAGGTGACAATGGCATTGCTCGTGGGACCATAAAAAGACGAATTAGTCTCTATCTTGCCAATACTCCTACGGTTGAGAGCAAAGCTAGAGCAGTTGCTTCTGATAAAGATATGGAATTTGGAAGACCACCGACAGCATCACAATATCAAATTGCAGAGCCTAAGAAGTATGTATTGGTTAACCAACATTTCTGAAATTATACTTGTTAGAAAGGTTTGGAGTAAATGTCTTGCTATTTGTAAAGCTGAAAGGCAGCTAGATATCCAAGCAAGTGCATAGGTGTATTTTGACAGCACTATGTTTTAAGAAAATTATGTTTCTCATTCTTCTCGCATGCCAGTTCTGTTTATTGTGGAGTTTTTGTTTGGGTGGGTTAAAGATTATGTGCTGTCGGATTCTTAAGTCCATTTGCTAACAGCAGCAGGTAGACTCAAGTATATCTAAACCCCCAAAATTGAATTTAATGTGGTGCCATTTATTAGGCTAAGTATAGCTTTTGATCTCACCAGAAATAGTGTCCTTGTATTTACATGTACATGGAACACAAATCTTAAAGAACGTCATGAGCCTTTCTAGTTCTCTCTGTGGACAGCAGAAAATCTCCCTTTAACACACTATGCTAGGGTGAGAATGCTGTTCCTCCACAGAATACAGTAAAAGGGAGTAAGCATTATAACCCTAAGACAGGAAGTGCGTTACTGACAGGAGCACTAGGTGAAAATGAAGCCTTAAGATATGAAACGAATACATCTATGACTGGTTAAAAGAGAACTATGGCCTAACCTTTTTTTTCTTCTCCATAGTTCTCTTCAGGGTCACACGAGGACATATACTAATGTCCCCTGGTGACGCAAAACTCAGCATATAGCGGGCTATAGAGCACAGAGCTGTGCCACAGCTGGGACGGATCCCAAGTCAAGATCTACTCCGCTGGCTGATTGACAACTGTCTGGAGGATCGGAGAGGGGTGGGGGTGGGGAACCTGCGCGTATTGGTGACTGATCGGCGGTGTGTGTTCGCTGACTTCTTGATTTAATAGAGCCAACCTGTGACTGCTTCAGTGCCACAGGTCGGCTTGAATTTTGGAGATGAGTGTTTTTCACTCACCCCATAATTCTCCTTTTTAACTTGCTGTATATGAAATGTTTGTTCTTCAGTTTAACAACATTTTATTGAAAACCAGTCACAATCTGATTGTTTAATCATTAACGTTGACCTTTGCTCCCTTTTGACTAATAAATCACATCGGCATACAGCTCTGCATGCTGATATAAAATCAGCTTACATTCATTAGCTAAACAAACAAATTTTTATTTTACTTACAACTTCTTTTCTTCCACTTTGGCACAAATGATGTAATAGTGCCTAAGCATTGCACCCCGAGAAGGTTACAGCAGTGCATTGCTGGGAAATCTCATCTGTAATCTCACAAGATTTCAAGGAAAGGCATTTGCCTCCCCTGAGATAATGTGCATGGTCACATGTCCTAGTCAAATGTGCCAGAGTTCCAGGTAGTAAAGGGAGATCCAGTAATCTGCCCTTATTTAAAATGGCCTCTGTGAGAAGAATGGGAAGGAAAAAAAATAAGGTATACAAAGAATAGAAAGCCAGCAATTATCTAGAAGTATCTGTTTGTAGATTGTCATTACTAAACATTTCTAGAGGTGCCTTTGTTGTTATTTTGAAGATATGGGTAAAGTTCCTCTTTAAAGTATATCTAGAGCCAAACTTGAATGTATGCTGATAGTAGAGGCATTTAATAGTTCTATGCAGAATACCTTGGTACTTTCTAAATAAGTGAAACAAATAGAAATTAGCATTGTTAGTAATGGTATTTACTAGTTTGGCATCATACGCCAGATGTTATATTGTGATTTTTTTTTTTGGACAGTTTTTCAACCTCCTCTTCAAATGTGGAGCCAAAACAAGAGAAAGCAGATGAAGAAACCAGTACCCTCGCCTCACAAGATATTGGAGTTCAAACGGTAAGATTTCCTTCTGTGTTTTCAGAACCTTGCAAGGAGCTAGAAGATTGTTCATGGTCAAACTAGGAGGCAAGGGCCAGTTTTGAAAGGAATTTTGTCAAAGGATGACTGAAGTCTGACAATTACTTCCTGTCAGCTGCCTAACTTTTGACTTCTGATTGTGAGGTCAGGCGTTTGTTCAGCAGCAACTTGCAAACTTCAGGTGGCCTCCCCTGACAATTCCGCTTCAGGGGAATGGGTTGGCAAAAGCAACTAAAGCAGGCCATCTGCACCTGCAGTGAATTCTGAATAATCTCAGAAGCTTATTAAACTAATGTCAAAAGTTTGCTGCATTTGCTCATCAAAGTCTTTCAACAAGCCCTTACTTTTTTCTCAGGTTGACTAAGAAAAAGTAAGCTGAATACACAGGAAATCTCAGACTTTTTTTTTTTTAATCAGATTTGTATTGGGATTTCAAAAACAATACATACATATTCACATTCATATACAAGGTCACTCGAAAAACAAAATATCAGCATCATAGAAGCATTGGGAATGAATAAGCTAATAAAAATCTCTGTCTATAGCCCAGTCTCTTTAAAAGGTACAGCCTAGAATAAGTCATACGATAAAATGTTAATGTACAGGTGGACCTCCTCATCATTATTATTATTATTATTATTATTATTATAGTTTGCGCAGCACTTTACAATATAAGGAAGACATTACAAGGTAGCTGTGTGGGGATGTATTGTTTGAGAAAGTGATGGTTGAGCGGTTAGGTTGAGGTGGGATAGGCTTCCCTGAAGAGATGAGTGTTAAGGGATCGCCTTAAGGCAGTCAGAGCGAGAGATAGTCGGACAGGTTGGGGTAAAGAGTTCCAGAGGATGGGAGAGACTCTAGAGAAGTCCTGGAGGCGAGCATGGCAGGGGTTGACAAGGGAGCTGGAAAGTAGGAGGTCTTTGGAAGAGCGAAGGGGACGGTTAGGGTGATACTTTAAAAACAAGGTTGGAGATATAGCCAGCGGGAGAGTTGTGAATGGCTTTGTAAGTGGCTGTTAATATTTTGAATTTTATCCTTTGGGCTATTGGAAGCCAGTGCAGGGATTGGCAGAGGGGGCGTTGCAGACACTGAGGGGTTGGTTAGGTGGATGAGTCTATCAGCAGCATTCCGGATAGACTGAAGGGGGGATAGCCTGTGTAGTGGAAGGCCAATGAGGAGGGAGTTGCAATAGTCAAGACTGTCTGCAGTGTCTTTAGTTGGGATGGTGGCGTGCTAAAATAGTGTATCAGCCTTGATTGTCAGTTGTTGAATTGTTTAGCTGAGCTTGCTTCAGAGATGTTATGGCACAATGATGTGATTTGCTGGGAAGCCATCTCCATGCTCCCTGGTGACAGTTCTCTTTAAGCAGATAGTGTATATGTGTTTGCATTGACAACTATGCACCGATACCGTTTTTTCAGTTAGAAGTACCGATATTTTTTTCCCCGGTACTCGCCAGTACCAGAACTCCCATTAAGGAAGCGGGCAGCGTGTAATGACTCGCCGCCTGGCTTCCTGATACCGGAAATTCTGGTATCAGGATAAGTATTGGGAAGCCAGGATGTGTTTTTTATTTTTGTCCTTTAGTGAACTAACAGTAATGAGCCTATAATAGATATTTTAGGACACCTTCAGTAAATGTCAACATCAGAATTTCTCATTTCTCCAGCTTGCGCATTTTGTATGTTGTGCCACATTACTTAAACTGCACCGTTGGTGAGAACAGCCTTCTTTAACTCCCTCTGGGATGATATAGCAGGTACCTTTTTTAAAATTCCCTAACTTAGGGTACGCTCCTAATATGAAAATACCAAATTCAGCTGTTAAATTTGATGTGTTTAAGGGTGGGGAAGAATGGGTTGCTTGCAGCTGTAATAATATAGCTGCACTAATATGAAGTTAGTTTATTTGTATAGCGAGTCATTGATATAAATTATTTGTGTTGGTTTTAAGCGTGATTACTGTGCCTTGCAGTTTAATTTTTCTACATAGCACACTCCATGGAGGTCACGGGAATGAGAGACTTGTTTGCTGCAGGGCCTGTGGGGTATTTTTGGCTGTACTTAATAAAATGCTGTCTGAAAAGCTTGCTTTGTTATTTCACGTGGACTAGAGAAAGCATTTCCTGCTTTCTTTCCCAAGATTGTTAAGGGTTCAGAGTTAGAATGCTGAGAAATGCACACTCTAAGTTAAACATACACTGTCACCGATATATTTATACACTACCATAACACTTGATTTTGTACATCTGTGCATTTATTTTAATATATTCTGTCTTTTACTTTTTTTTTTGATTAGCACATAGCTTTAGCAGCTGACTTTTGGTGCTTGGTACTTTTGCTACTCCCCCCTTCCCCTGATTATCACTGGTATAATTGAAAAGTGTGGGAGTGTGTTTCTCAGACTATCATTACAAACCGTGAACATCAGACCGGTTTGAATGTGGAGCAGCATTTTATCAGGAAAAGAATTTGCAGCAGGCCCATTGATTTGAGCTGCGCTATTAATAATGGTAAGTTACTGAGTGCTTACCAAGTGGGCCCATTCTCCCTGCTACAATGACGAGCCAGAAACAAGGCCACATATAGCCCAGATCCCCTTTAGTAACATATATTGCAGTTTGCAAAATCACTCTGCCCCACACTAGGGTCTTTTTATATCTTTTCTGTTCACATGTTTGATGACCGGTCTCTCATATTGTGAGGTTATTGTTGTCACCAACATTTTGAGTGCATATGTTGCCAGTTGCAAAACTATACACATTCATACTGTGTTGCAACATTATAAAGATCAGTTCTTCAGGCGGACTCGATTCGTTCTAGGTTGAACTTGATCTTGACGGAACGGAGGTAATCAGATGTCCACTTGCATACGACTCCCCATAAACCTAACATGGGTCTGTACAGCTCAGTCTTTACCACAGTCGTAAGACACAGTGACATCTGTTCCATTCTGCACGGATCAGCAGGGGATCCATACATGGATTCCCTGCTCATCAGAACGGACAATGTCTGTGCGAAAGGGACGTTTCACAGTTTCTTTTGTTCTTCTGCTTTGACATAACTGTAGCTGTACGGTACGACTGTATTCAGTAGCCTCGTCATTTAACTTGAAAGACTGGCTTGAAATATCATCCTCCTGTACTTTGACTCTGTCATATATGTAGCAATGTATCCCTCTTGTGTCCTTCAAGAAGCAGGTTACTGTCCCTTGCTACCCTGATAAGCTTTTATGATCTGGACTTTGCATCAGTCTTGCAGCTATCAGGTACATTTATACAGGTATGTTCCAAAGACCCATTCTTCTGAAAAGTGCAGAGATAAGAGTTTACTAATAATTTATTGTATAGCAGCTAAGTAGTTAGAATTTACAGTTCTTGCAAATGCAGTGGTTTAGTATAGTGCAGTGTCCTCTTCTGTTGTCTTTTTTTTTTTTTTTCCGCCGATTAGACACTGGTATGTGACTTTCCATTCGATTTTTGTCGATTTTGTCACTGCAGCACCCACCCTACTTGGGTCTTCGTTCCGGTCAGGAGTGCGATGGGACACTTTTTATTGAACTGAGCATAAATTGCACACAGTTATCGGCTTTCCTAACTATCTTCTGTGAAAGCAATGCCTCCAGCACCTATCTGCATTGGTTTGCTGCTTGCCGGAGCATAGATGGGCCCTGTCAGAAGGAAGATTCAAAGCTGGTCTGTAATGTGCTTAGTAATTTGACCTTTCATTTGCCACTTTCTTTGGCACTTTGTGCAGTGTGTGTGTGGTAAGCCACAGGTTGCTTTAAAGGTCCAGGGCAATGACCAATCTCGGTGGAGCTCTGATCCCAGGGGGTGAAAATTGGATGGGCATGTCTCCTTAATGTTTTCGCATCTGTGGTAAGAAACAAAAGCCTCTCAGGTTATCCACAGGTGACCAGATGGTAGCCCCGGTACCCTACAGAGTTGCATCTGCAGCTCTGGTGCAATTTTTGTGTTGCACTTTTAGCAGTGGTTTAGCTTTGAGAATCTTTATTTGGTGCCGTTTTTGTTTGAGGCCGAGGGGCCATAGACCACGCTTGTGCAGCCTCCCTTCCAGCTGCCAATTTACGCATGCACCAGCTATCTCTTTGAGATTTGGCCATTGGGGCAGACGGGCCCATTGTGCTTCCTCAGAGACCCCCTCTGACTCTCCTCCTCAGGAGTCTTCCCAGACAGAGGACCTGTCTCCTGACATTTTCCCTAAGCTCAAGAACACTATCCTGTCCTTGTGGACACAGATTGCACTTGCATGCATTTAGGATGGCTAAAGAAATGGGTGATCCCCATCATAGACCCTAACATCGTCTGAGAAGGTATCAGCTTTTATGGACCACATTACCATGAGGTTAGAAGCCCTCTTTAAGGCCCTGTTTGGCCTTGCGTTCCCAGCTATGCAACCCCTCGCTGGAGGATACCTTTCTAGCTAATTCTTGGATGCCTACATCAAGGAAGTCGGGGGGAGTGGTTATGACTATAAATATAAACCCCCCCACTTTTATAAGTAGGGTAAAGTATTTCTGCCTTCCCAGCACTCTGAGCCAGAGGCATTTCCGATAACTGGGTTCAGAGTCATAACCAGAGGCTACAAACTAGAGTTTCAGTCCACATCTACTTAAAAGATAGATTTCTTTGCTGCCGTACGATTCTCGGCTGGTTTTCTAGCATGCTCCCAAGTCAAAAGACGTGCGACCGTACAGTAAAAACGGTTGCACGCCTTCCATACACTTTGCGATTATCGTACGATCGCGGGATTTCCTGCGATTATCGTGCGATAATCGCACAGTGTATGGGCACCTTAAAGGAAACTTGGTCAATAGTAGTTTCAGAACTGTGTCATTATTCGTGGCGTTCTCTTAATCAGTTACTGGTGTTTCCATCATACTGGATCATACTGCAGCTGAAAGTGAACCTAAAATGGACATACTTTCACTGCTTTGCTCCTATATTTGGCCCCAATGAGCATTGAAAGTTAAAATCTTGGAGGTTACAAGAAGCTAAGGACTTCCTCATGTGGCAGTGCTGTTATGTTAGAGGAAGACGAGAATAATCTGCTGGTGGGGCCAAGATTTAAAGAGTAATTCCACTTTTGCTGAGAAAAAAAATCAATGCTCTCTGAGTGATCTGTGTACATTACAAGGATTTTAACAAACCTTGTTGCAGTTTCCTACCTGTTTCTGAAGAAAGATGTGTGTGGCAGCATGTCCTTTCCAAACTGATTCCTTGATAGTCTGTGTTCGTTTTAACCAACTTGGTGAGCTGTGTTGTAATAGGGAGAGTTACAGTCTCTGCAATGCCTTTTAATTGTAATTTACCCTTCAGGAGTATTTTGCCAAAAATGAAATTCCTATTGCAAAGGATGCCAAAAATGTATACTTGTTTCTTCGTGCAGACTTCAAGGAAAGTCAGTCAGCCAATCACAGAAGCAGGAAGGGATATTTCTGGGGGTGTTCCGTACAGCAAATGTGTACGGAAGGCCTCCAGGTTGCTCTTTTGCATTTCATTTTTTTAGACTGTTTCATAACATTTACATCAGCTACAATTTTAAATGGAAAGGTAATTGTTAATAACATTCAATTACAAAATGGCTTGTGTGGCAATACTATATCCTATATTCATTTTTTTTTTAAGCCATTTTTTTTAGCCTGTTGACATGTGGCTTAAATCCTGTAATTTATACTTTATACGCACATCTTATTTTGACATATTATTTGCAGAGTAATGTTAAAATGATTCTGCATAGCATTATCAGATTTACATAATTACGTGCATAATTTTTCTATTCCAGGAAAAAAAAGATTGGAAAAGCAGTGGATTTCCGGAAGACCGTCTGAGACCAAGGAGGTCATTTAGAAAAGTAGAAGAACCTTTACAACTAAAGGACAATGAAGATGTCTTTATTGAGCGAAAAAGCCAGGTTTATAAAGATAGGCAGTATGACAGTAAAACAGAGCAAACAGAAGACAAATCCAAACAACCTGTCAACTTTGATAACACATTTAAGACTGTGAAAGCAACGATGTTTGAACATAATGTAGAATGGCATAGTCCCCCTGAACTCCTGAATGCCAAAAACCCTACATCCAGCCAGCCTACTAGAAGTGCTATTTTGTATGAAAGCAGAGAAAGTAAGAAAGACACAGAGACCTGGTCAAAGTGGCTGAGTGACGACAGTGTGCATTCAGTCACACAGCTGCACAAGGATAGTGATATTTCAGACATAAGGTTCAGCAATAGCAGGGTTGGAAAGGCTGCATCTACTGCAGACCACGACATCCTTCAAAACCTCAAAGTTGATGAAAAAAGGCGTATAGAGCCAAGGTTTGAAGTCATCCAGGCGGTTGGAGAAAGGGTTTTAAGTGAATCCATACAAATGGCTTCTGAAGACAAAGCTGTGACTCTTCGATCTCGAAGATCTTTCCACAGGAAAGAAAGGGAATTGGAGAACTCAGAAATGGATGAAAGTGTCTTACATCGTCCAGTAAGCAGCCTCCAAAGAAGTAAGAGTGAATACAGAAGGAGAGACACAGGTTCACAAGAATACTCCACTAATAAGTATGTGTCTAGAGACCTTGATTTTCCATTCAGTAGAAAAAGTAGTTTAAGGGCAGCAAAAAGTGACTCTGTGAAGTCACCAGATGACAGAACTTATGAAACTGGTAAGAACAAAAGCACTGTAGACACAACTGTCTCCGATTTTCAGCCAAAGTCCTATAAACTAGACTACAGACCAAAAGATGAAAATGCTTTGGAACAATGCTCTATTGATCAGTCTCAATTTGGAATTAGTACAACAGATGGCAAAGACATGAAAAAATCTTTGAATGATTTTAATCGGCATCCCCTTAGATCATTCAGTGATTTGATGGATAAAGGGTTAGAAACAAAAACTGTTATAGATGAGCCAATAGTATCTAACTCAAACATTAGAGAGGATATGAAAAAATCATCACACATTGAGGAGGTTAATAAGCCATCTTGCCAACGGAATAGTTTTTTCTCCGACAAAGAATCGCCAGCAACCAAGAAAGTTAATAAAGATGAATCAAATTATTTGATTAGTGAAATGTTAGGTAATGAAATTGAGCAATTTAAGAAGGACTTGGCTGTTACTCGTACCACAAATGATACTGATAGTCTCCTAAGGGGCAAGCAGTTCAAGGAAGAATATACAGAACAATTTAAATGGGAGCGGAAGCAAACACCATTTCAGGACAGGAACACGAGCAGTAGTAGCACAGGAAATGCATCAGATCTGTACAATTTTGAATATGAGGAAACAAAGAGAAAACCGAACATGTCTATTGTATCTCCAACCGATCCAAAAGCAACATATTTTGCACTAACTGGGTTGGACAACAAGAGGGAAAAGAATGATAATAACTCTGAAAGCCAGAGCAGTAATGCCAGCATTTGGAAATCAGAAGAATTTTTTAAGCGAGATGTGAATATGAGCTCAACAATTTCAGGGTCTGACAGCAATTCTAAGAAACCAGAAGCAATAAATACCCAAGGAGACTTAGGAACCTCAAGTGCCTTTAAAGAATTTAAAACACACAGAAACCAGAGAGTTCTTGAGGATGATTTTGTTGGCAAGTCAGACAAAAGTTTGGAAAAAAAGAGTGTTATTGACATTGATGCTTTAATCAAGAGACACCGCCAAAAAACAAGCCTAGATGATAGGGTTTCTTCAAGAGATGCTAAACCTGAGCAGAAAATATTTGCAACAGACTTAGACACTACACAAGGCTCCCCTTTAACGCTTGACAGATCTTATAAATCCAAAATCGTTGACATTGATTCTTTAATGGCTGACTATAATGCAAATCATCCAAAAGAAAGCATATCCAGAGACGAAGATCATAGTATATACAAGTGGGAAAGGTCTAAATCTTTTAGAGAGAGTGCTTCAAAAGGTTCAGACAGCAAATGGAGAGATCCCCCTGTAAGGCATGTCAACACTGATGAAAAGTACCAGTATGAAACTGTTGCTTCATGGTATTCTCAAACAACTACCTCAACAACAGAAGACACTAAACAAGTTTCGCACAAAATTCCAAGAACTGCAGAATATTTGAAATCGCCTATAGATGCAAAATATGAGCAATATAGAGAGAGAGAACGAGATCCAGGATTCCAAATCTGCACAGAAGAACGTAATAATATAGCAGGTTTAGATTCCTCCGAGTCATCAACAAGAAATATTGACAACTATAAATCTAGATCAGTACGGGCCTCTGAGTCACCTACTGTGATGGCAGACTGGTCAACTTCACATACCCTAGCCAAAACAACAGTTGTAGAAATGAGTGTTGATTCTAAAGAAGATCCTGCTGCTGCAAAGCTTCACCACAGGATTTCTGTGAAAACTGATAAAAAATCGATTGTAACTGAAGAAAGGCAACCGCGTTCTGAAGGCAGACGACCAGCAAAAGCTAGTGATTTAATTAGCACAATGCTAGAAAATAAAGAAAAGCGAATGGAACATCATCGTACGAGGCAGAGCATTCCAGTGGAGCACCTAAATGAGCCAAGAACACACAAACTAAAGAGCCAACAAGAATGGCATCATAGTGAGAGCAAGGTATGAATTATTGGTTCTCCATAGGGAGAAAGTGCATGGCAACAGCTAAATACGCACATGAAGTAAATTAATGTTCACTTTTTTACCTGTCAAAATATTTGTAATACAGGCAGTCCCCGAGTTATACATCCGACTTGCATACGACTCCTACTTACAAACGGGGCTATTACTGTACAGCAGGATTAGTTGTAATGCTACCGCGCTCGTGCCGACGAGGAGTGCCCACCTTTTTGGGTCTGGTTCGTAGTACTGTACATACATAACAGGAAGTAGGCTCTTGTTAGAGGCGCACACGAGGGGTGCCCACCTCTACTTCTGGGCCACTGTGAGGTTTTTACTGCTGTCTTCATCCTCATTAGAAAGATTTAATCTCACTTCCTGTCCTTGAGACAACAGGAAGTGAAAGGAAATCTACCCCTTAGATGGGAAATTCACTCCTGTAAGAGTGATCATGGGAAATAGGTGACTCCACTGAAGCTTTATCACCAATCCTTGTTTCCACGACAACCCAAAATGTTCAAAATCCAATTGTCACAGGGACAGAAAGTGAGGTGAAATCTTCTGAACAAGGGCACACACAGCAACACAAACTTTACAGGGGGGTTAACCTTTCCCTATGCTATCCAAAACAAAAAAAATGTTTTTGGCTGGAGTTGCACTTAATAAAATTACATGTTCCAACTTACATTCAAATTCAACTTTTAGAACAAACCTACAGTCCCTATGTTGTTCGTAACCAGGGGACTGCCTGTAGTATTCAGCCACTTTTGCCTTGCCATGGTACCTTTTTTCTAGCTCCCCTTTTACTGCCTGCTAATAAAGAAGTAGCAAGGTGCTATTGAAGTCCTCCATGTACTCCCCTACCCCTGTCTGATGCTATACACTACCCCTTCAGTCACCTGAATTAGGATAGCTAGCAGTGCAATATATTCATAATGCACTACTACTCTCATCTTGAATTCAGGTATGCAGAAGATTATAGGAAGCCTATATTTAAAGGAGAACTATGGGGTTAGTGCTTTTCCCCATAGTTCTCCTAAGGGTAACAGGAGGACACAAACTAGCGCCCTCTCGTCACCCTAACCTCCGTGTACCGCGAGCTACAGCTTGCGGTATACTGAGACGCCGCAGCTGAAACTGATGCCGACAATTATGTCTGGATCCGCCCAGCTGCGTGAGTGACAGCTGGCTCCTCCGCTGGAGGATCGGAGCGGGTAGGGGGCAATCCAGTCCCTCCCCTGTCACGGCTCTGTGCCGTGACAAGATCAAGAAGTGAGCGAACGCCGGTATGTCTTCGCTCACTTCCCGATCTACTGAGCCGACCTGTGACAGTTTCATTGTCACAGGTCGGCTAGAACTATGAGGATGAGTGAAAAGCACTCACCTCATAGTTCTCCTTTAATAAAAAGTTAAGATGCCTATATTAGATACTTTAAAAAAAATACTTGTAAGAAAGCTTATAATTCTAAAAATTAGAATAAACTTAAGTCACTTTTCCAGCACTCCTTTGAGTTCCCAATTTTAATGTCTGTTTTAGGACTATTCTGAAAAGGAAAGCTCCAGACAACATGCAAAACTACAGCGGGAAGCCGAAATTGTCATGGACCTGCCACGAAGGAAAAGTTTAAATCGGCAAAGAGAGTGGGACTTTAGATCAGAGACGGTAGGCTGTTGTTTCATTATTGCTACTAAACACTTATTTTAGATTTTGTTAATGTTTTTTTTAAAGTTTTGGATAGTGTGGAGTATACCCATTAGCGAGATTCACCCTCTCTGTATTTGTCCTGATGACCGTTGCTATCTGGAGTGAAAGTGGAAGAAAATCACAAATTTTGAAGTGTCATCCGAACAGGAAAAGAGAGGGGAAATCTTCCATGGGGATACTAGTTCTTGTGAGCTGAGTAAAGAGCCAGGGACTTCCCTCACTTTGGTGGGATTTCCTCTCGCTTCCTGTTGTGGCTACGGGGCCAGAGATCAAGGGAAATCTTCCCATTGGGACACGGATGTCCCATTGGGGAGATGCAAAAATAACCTGCCAGGGGTTGTGTATAACCCTACCTTACTCTATCCAACATAAAGTTTTGCCTTCAGTTCTACTTTTAAATAAGTATGGATACATTTCCTATACAACAAATGTATTTTCAGCCTACTCTGGGTTTATTTTGGTAATATTTTTTATACAATTGTAATATAAAATGTTTTCAGTTCTGTTGAATGCCTACATTTAGAATTAGTATGTTCTTTTTAATTTTGTGAAAAATGATTGTAAGTAATTTTAACAAGCCAACAAATGTATTTGTACATGTTGTCTGTATATGAGAAGAGCCACAAACCACTAGTAGTGACAATGTACTGCTATCCATCTAGGTTGTGGACAGAACCCACTCTAAATGTATTTGTCTGACATTTCTAATGGTACATTAGTGTGGTGTAGGTTTGACCCCAAATTTGATACATACATGGGTAATTCTACTGAATAGTAAAAATATTCAAAGATTTTAAAAAATCTGCCCAAAGATTAGTTTGATCAGATAGGTTAGAATAACTAAGGATGGCTGAACTAAGCTGAAACGTTTTTGTTTTTAAGTGCCTCTGTTATGACAAAAGTATGAGGCCTGTTGTTGCTGACCATCTTTTGAAAATACTGGTTGCCTGGCTGTTTCTACAAATGCACTATAAATGAGGGTCAGACGTGTCTGAATGTCATAATCTCAATACTTGATTCAGGTCAGTGACTTGTTAAGCACTGATGCCAAAGCATCAGCATTGCAGCCAGGGCATTAACAGTCTCAAAAGAGTTGGTAGACTTTTTACTTTTCTGAGGACCGAGTCACCTAAGCGTGCTTTCTTTTCAGGTTAATACTGTCCTGTCCCTTCTGCTATATGAACTGGTACTTGTATCCCTTTAAAAAAAAAAAACCTCCAGGAATGTGGGTTTGAACTATCTTGATGCGAATTAGGACACAAAGTGGCAAGGGAGTATCCATTTAGAAGCTTACATTTTAGATTTGTGCATAATTAAACTTGAGGACATTAAACAGTGCATTTCACTGTATAATATGTTCCTTTTAAAGTGTGTTTTTACTTTCCCAAAGGTTATTGTGGTCTGTTGCATTTCTTCTCAAATGGAATATCTCATAAAAATAAATAAATCACTGTTTAGGTGCATTAGGTTGAGTGGATCTCTCAGGAGTGTGCCATGGACAAATAGAAACGTGTCCATTGACCCTAATCCTTTATAGTGAAGCTCTTCTAGTTGACAGTTTTACGTAAATGCTTAATGACATTATAGTTTCATTAGGGTCTGCTCACATTAGGAGATCATTGTTTGAATTGTAGTTTTCAAAGCAGGTCATAAGTCAACAGTCATCAAGTCTCAGGAACCGTGAACTGCTGATCACATGCATTTTACTTTCAGGCATTATCTAGCTAAAGATTTTAAAGTTCATAGCCAAGCCCTTGTTTTGATATTGGAGTTGTACTTAATTCATTTGCTGCTAGTGATGGTGAATCCTGAAAACGCTCTTTTTGGAGGCATTGAATTCCGAACGAAGTATATACAGTGTCATTGGGGTTCCTTAAAGATTGGGAGACATGCTGATCATATGCAAGTTCAATAATTTAATATATAATGTGAATAACTGCTTATATCTTTAATGTAGAGGTGCCTTATTGGGGCTATTAAGTGCTCTTAACACAGTCTGTTATTGCATTCCATGTTTTGCAATCCTTTTCCTTTCCATTCCAACTTGCACTCAACCACTGGAAACTATATTTGTAGTAGCAGGTGGAATTCCAAATGGCAAGTAAACAGGTCAGTTTATCAATATGATTTGTCATAGGCCTTTGTTCTCATATGTAATTAACATTTAGGCCCTGTTCACAACTATGCTTCATAGCGCGCACATTAGGACGCATCAAAACCAATGTTATTTGGCATTCTATTGTTTTCATTGGTTACTTTTATGTATATGCCAGTGCCATGCCTTCTGTGCTGGGTGAGGCATCCCCCAGCCTGCCGAAGCTCCACCCCACAGAAGCTCCACCCCATCCAGCTGAAGCCCCAGTCCACATACCGACTTGAAGCTGACACCTTTTTTTTCTTCATAATACTAGGTGAGGCTCTGCCTCATCTGCCTCCCCTGACTGCACGTCCCTGGTATATGCATTGCGTTGTGGCACGTCAAGGAAAACAGTTCAGGTGCGTTTTTTCATCAGTTGAGGTGTATCTTGGGGCCCATTGAACTCCTTTGGAGATGCATATGTTTTCATGCAGTGTCAATGCATGTTTACTGAGACCTGCCCCTGGCAACATGCCATGTCTTCTTGACCTATCTACATTTGGAAATTGACAGGCTCCTTTCACTCCCCCTTAGATGCTGAGCACATCATTTGAGAAAACCTGCATAAAAACGGATGAAAAAAACAGATACAAAAATACATGAATTCAGGAGTGCATAGGTGTAAAGCCAGCCTCCAAGCCCAACTCCAGAGAGACGTTTTTGTTTTGGATAGAATGGAGAAGGGTTGGGGTCTGTCAGATTGCTGTATGCCGGCTGTGCCCTTGACAGGAAGTAATATGGGCACATTTTGTTAGTATTTATGACCAGGTTTTTATTGTTCCCAAAGAAAAGCAAAAAAGCAGGTTCCTATTTGTCATGACATCAGAAACCCTTCAGGCAACATAAATATAACATTGAATATATTACAAAAAAACATTTATTAGTATTTCTAATTCATGTCACTAAAACACCCAAACAAATTACCACCATATCTATCTAATAATGCACTCCTAAAACAATAGAAAAAACACAGCCTGTGGTCCCAAAAATGTCCTTCATATATGGTTGATGACCCCAAAGTCTAGAACCTAATTTGCTTTAGACCAGACTCCACTTGTTAATGTGTCATTGATCAATTCATGGAAATCTTGTTGTCAATCATGCATGATTCCTGGACTTCCTTAATTGGAGGCATCCCAGTACAACTCAAGGTCCCAAAAAGAGGGTGCCAAGTATCTTGAAACGTCACCTTACCTCAATCACTGTGATCATGATTTTACTGGAGCATACTTGTCAGTCCAAAAACACAGTGCTCAGTGTCATTTTAAAAATAATTTCCTCAGAGTAGTACTGCTATAGATTGTAAATGAACAAACTGCAGATAAGAATGTTGAGAGCCCATCATCCACATGGAAGAGAAAAGACAACCAGTTCATCACGCCGTACGTCCTGGGGTGCCAGAACATCCGAACACCCATGCTACACGGCAACCACCGTGTGTGTGTGGCTCCTTCCACCAACTCACAAATGTACGGCGCAATATTACTCTGATTGAAGATACTGGGATCCTTAAGACTTCTTCTTCTGTTCCCCAGAAATCTGCGAAATAATCAGCTGTGTGTAAGATCTGCAGGGCTCTGTTCAAAGGTCCCCATACGGCTGAGATGCCACTGAATCGCAACACGTTTCATCCACCGAGGACTTTTTCAAAGCGTATATAGGCTGCAACGTTATTGTTCTCCTTGCTTGTCTTTCCTGGGACAACGGTACCCTAATATCGTGTGCAGACTTCATGAAGACAACACATGAGAAAAATAAACTCTCCTATGGTGTTACAGGCAAACATTAAAAAACAAAAAGCTAATTTTAATTCTTCCACATTCTATTCAAAAGTATCAAAGGAGAACTATGAGGTGAGTGAAAAACACTCATCCTCATAGTTTGAGCCGATGTGTGACAATTAAACTGTCACACGTCGGCTCAATAGATTGGGAGGTGAGCGAGCACATACCGTCGCTCGCTCACTTCTCGGTCCTGTCCCTGCAGAGAGCATTGACTGTCGGTCATGGCTCCCTGCAGGGATTTCCCCTCCCCGCTCCAAACCTCCAGCGCTGACTGGAGGAACGGATGGGTGAAGGGGGCGGGTACAGCTGGCTCTGTCTCTAGATAGGCATAGCCAGCTGTCATTCACGCAACTGGGTAGATCCCGACAGCATTGTCGGGATCTGTCCTGGCTGCGGCGGTCTCAGTATACCGCGAGCTGTAGCTCACAATATACTGAGCTTTGTGTCATGGGAGGAAGTTTAGTACAGGTATTCCTCACTTAACGACCGAGTTCCGTTCCTACGACCAGGTCGTTAAACGGATTGGTCGTTAAGTGAGGAACGATATACAGTACTATACTGCATTAGTACAGTACTGTATAGCGTTGCCGATGTACAGTACCGAACAGTGTACTGTACATCCGGCAATGGAAATACTTACCGAGACCTGCAGTGAAGATCGGGGGATGTCACTTCCGCCGGCGACCCGTCGCACTGACGCTGACGCGGAAGGTCGGAGGTCGATCGGCGGTCTGTCGTAAGTGCGAGTGGTCGCAAAACAGGTAAGTCGGTAAGTGAGGAACATCTGTATATGTCTTCCCGTGACCCTATGGGGAAAAACCATCTACCCCATAGTTCTCTTTTCACAAACATTGGGCTGCTATTACACTTTAGGGCCAGTTCACACCTATGCGACACCCCACCGCGCGGCAATCGTGCACGATTCCGTGCAGATTGCCACGCAGTCAAGTCGTATGCCTTTTTTCTGCGATGCCTTTTTTCTGCGATACACAACGTGCGATCATGATCAGAAGAGTGATCCGCCTGGCGCCACTGTGGTGCCATTGGAAGCGCTTTTATTGTTCATTTTCATGCAATCCCATATACTTCACCGTGCTCCTTGAGGGATGAAATAATGCGCCTGAACCATTGTCCAAGACGCATAGCAATGTATTCATGTGAATCAGACCCATTGCAAACAATGGAATACCAAGTAACCTGCATTTGGTAAGTTATAACACGTAGGTGTAAAGAAAGCCTTAAAGGGCATTCAAATCCTGTAAGCCACAAAGGATGGAAATATTGTATTTTATGATTTGAGTCGCTTGGTATTTTTTAAATGAGCGTATTCTCTTTGAAATGATACACAGAGGATTTTTCGTTTGCTGTGATATAGTAAAATATTAACCATACACCACAGTGTTTTGACCTAGTTCTGTCCAACATTCTGTATATTTTCCATCACTTAGATGTGAGGATACCACATTCCTCCACTTAGTTGTTATGCTTTTATCCGTACCTGAACAGCACTAAAGTGTTGGCCATTGCCTCCACCAAATAATGAATGTATGGTCATGCTACTTTGTTCTTTGTAAGAAACTCCTGTCAGAGAAGCCCTGTTTTTTAAAAATGTATCCCCCCTTCCCCCACAAATGTCGGTACATTTGTAAGTGTTGTGCGGCCTTAGAGTTTCATTAGACAAAAAAATAAAAAGTGTTTACAGGGAATATTAAAGAATTTTAAATGCATAGCTTTGTCCAAGAAACAGGAGACGCCACGTTTTAGTACCCAACACTAGTATTTTGGAACGCATGATTTTATGCTATATGAGGATATATTGCCCCTCAACACCTCACTACAACATGATGTCTGTTGTGAGTCACATCACAAGATAGTCAGCCTGGTGGAGGGAAATAGCTAAAGGATGTTTGCAATATTTCATACTAGTAACTAGTGATGAGGCTGGGCTTGTTCGTCCCAAGCCTGCTCAAAACTCTGTTTCCCTACTGTGCAATATTGACGGTGGTCAAACATTTAAAAATGACTTTTGGAAAGATTTGACAGTTTAACATTTGAAAGTATGTGTTGGTTTTGCTTTGAAAGTTGGTACCTACCCATTTTTCAAAAGCAAAGGCAAAATGGACAAAGTAGAATGGGTGGCATGCAAATAAACAATATACCAAATGAAAATATGAATTAAAAGGGCTAAAAAGTGCAGCATGGATTTTGGATGTATTATGAGATGCTCAGGAAATTGTTATGATATCGTCAGCAGTTGTAATTGCTACTAATTACAGTGTATAAAATACAGTCTAAAGAATTAATAGTTTTTTGCCTCTCTAATGGTAGCTTGCAGGTCTTCCTTATGAGAGTCAGACTTTAAGTAGTTTTCAGTGTACTACTCTGCTGGCCTGCCCCTTTCACCTATCTTTTGCCATAATAACAAACAAAAAAAGCACGAATGGCACAACCACTTTTATGTTGTCTAGGATGTGGACATCAGAACGTGGCATCTACCTAAAGAAGTAGACCACTGAACAGTCCTAAATAGTGTTGGGTACACAGGCACGCATCCCAAACTGAACATTAGGAGGGCTTTTTGTACAATACATGCACTGTATGTAGTAGTTTATGCTGATAGGTGGGAAAACTCAGCTGCTTCATTGGCAGTATTGTTCCAAGCTAGGCTGTATAAGCAGTAAAGTATATGTCGCTGGATAACCTTTAATAACATGTTCTTGAATTGAGGAAATTCCAAAGTACATACCAAATTATATTTTTCTATAATTACTATTTCTAGCTCACAGGGCCTTGTCTTTGACTCTCAAGATACCCGCAATCCTTTTTGTGTCACTGTATTATTCCGATTTAGATTTTAGAATGTCTTCCATTTAAAAATGATCTAAAGCCAAACCTTTTTGTTGGAAAGATTGCTGAGAGCATATCAACTCCTTATGTTTTTCTTTTCCTCTGCTTTCTCTTTCCCCATTAGGGAAATCCATCCTCTCTTTGTCCTAATTACCATTGTTACAGAGACTGTAAGTGAGGGACAATTACATTTCACAGTTTGGAGTTGTCACTGGAAAAGGGAAGTCCTCTATTCTTTGTTACATTTGTCGCCCTGATGATGGGATCTGTGCGGTCCCGAAACGTCGCTATTTTAGACATGACAATTGACGATTGGTCCGATTAAATGGACATCAAAGAAATGTATTGAGTGCTGGTGATTTCTGCTTTCCACTGTTAGTTGCACTGTGCCATCCGTGATTGTCACTGCGAGCACCACTACAAGTACTTGGGCCGTGAGCGCTGCGAGGAGTGCAGAGGTACCCCCTGCAAGTTTCCCGAATGGAGAAAATAGTGAGTGACAGCTATAAGAGATTCCCCTTGCTATGGAGAGTATTCCTCTCACTTCCTGATATGTCTATTGAACAGGATGTGAAGAGAAATCTCCCCAAATGGACACCTGGTGTTTTCTCTGGATGCTTCACTTCTCTATCTGAAACCTATAAAGAAAAATGTTGGCTTTAGGTAAATTATAATAACATGGGGAAAACATACCGCTGATTTCTGGACACAGTTGTTTAGTTAAATGCATGTCTCATTGGGTTCAAATGATTTAAAGGAGAACTTATGAGGTGGGTGATTTCCACTCATCCCCATAGTTAGAGCCAAACTGTGACAAAGAAGCTGTCACAGGCCGGCTCTATCAATCGGGAAGTGAGCAGAAACATGCCACTGATCTGCTCGCTTCCCGTTAGTCTCCCTGCAGTAAGTGGTGCCTGTCAGTCATCGCTCCCCGCAGGGATTGCCCCTCTCCGATGCTTCAGCGCTGAGTGCAGAAACGGACGGGGGAGGGGCGGGCACAGCTGGCTCTGCCTCTAGATAGGCAGAGCCAGCTGTCACTCGCGCAGCTGGGTGGATCACCACAGTATATCGTGGGCAATAGATCTCGCTATATACTGAGCTTTGGGTCACGGGAGGAGACCCTAAAGAGAACTATGCAAGCCCTTGCAGTGGATCAGAAATGTGGAAGGCACTATCGAGATGAGACCAGGCAGATTATTGCATCTATTTTTTGCTGCATTGTTTGGCTTAGTTGACATTTAGTTCAGATTTATTTTTTTATCCACAACTATGTAAAAAAAAAAAGAATTCTGGTTCATATACACTGTAATTAGAAGGATTTGTGGTGTCAACAGTTCATATATTCGTTTGTTGTTTTTTCCATTGGATAAAGAGTACTGGTACCCTCTGCTGGTTGTTGGTAAGTACTACAGTTAATAAACAAGTTCCTTACTCATTCCCAATCACCAATATATAAATTTTTGTTCCTGGTATGAGTCAGTTTGAGAATATTTGTTATGGTGTTTAATGGAATAATTGGCAGTGAGAAACACCTACAGTGACGTTCCAAGTATAGCTTTTTTGTTTCTCTTTTAATTTACAGGTTATTTACTTTTGTTATTAACCACATTCGGTATAGAAGCTTTTCTTTTTTAGTGTAAGTTTCTTGACCTCAGTAAGTCTGTTTTAACTCAAAGCTTGGCTGTCCTAGCAAGGGTAATATTATGTTGTGTACTTGTGTTTTACCCTTGGTAATATGAATCGGGTTTGTCCACATTTGTTGTGTAAATGCTTGAGTTTTGTAATGCTCTGTTCCACTTTCTAAATATAGGCATAGAAAACGTTTTTAAATAATAAAGCTGTGGACCGTCATCATATTCTACATGACATCTGTAGTACGCCCTGTCCATCCACCCTCTCCCCCTTTTACAGCTGCCGGC